GTAAGTTCTCTCTCCGTCCTCGCTCTCTCGGCTTCTCTGTCTCGTAGTCCCCGGTGTTTTTTTTTCTTTTTTTTCGGCTTCGGCTGTTTGTCTTGAATTCTTTCTATCTCTCTCTCTCCCTCTCTTCCTAAAGTTATCTCTTCCTCCGTCTATGTACTTCTCTCTCTCTCTCTCGTTCTCTCTCACTCACTCACTCATTCACTCACTCACTCACTCTCTCTCTCTCTCTCTCTCTCTCTCTCTCTTTTCCTTCAGTCATTTCTTCCTCTATCTACTTGTACCTCATAGTCTATATCCCTCTTTCAAGTCGCATGTGTACTTTCCCTGATAATCATGTCAGTCCCAATCTTTTTATACTATTCCTTGATACAAATTGATATTTACTTTTCTAAAAGTCATGAACTGCCGTCAACATTTTTTGTAGTAATTGTCTTCTCTCGATGACGGAAGTTCTGGTGTAACGGTGCTGCTGGCAGGCACTCGCGATGGGCGGGGTGAGGCCGCTTGAAGTTACGGTGATTTGCCGATTTACGATGTCGGAGATGACGGCGTTCACTGCCAAGCTGTTCGGGCCACTTTCTCGACCAGTGACAGAGGGACAGAGGACCGTAACTGCATGACTCGCCATGACTTAAGCCACTGAGCACGTTGCCTCAGGATGACTTTCCCTACAGTGTACCCTCCCTTCTCCCCCACCCTCTCCATCTCCCTTTCATTTCCATTTCCCTGCGCCCTTGCATTTTCTCTGCTTTTTCTTCGCCTTCTTCCTTTCATTTAAAAATTTCCCTCTTTTCCTCTTCCCATTATTTCTGTACCTGGCTGGTCTAGCCTTCTCTCTCTACATTCGATTCTCTCGTTAAACAAAGCGCGGGATGAACTTCAGCATCATGGCAGAAGATAATGATAGTCTAAAAAAATAGATAAGAATTTTGACAGGTTATTTTTTCAAGGATAATTTTTAAAAATATCGGTTTTCTTCGTTTATTTTTTTATTTTTTATTTTTCATATCTTAGTGGCAGTGAATGTTCTGGACGTTCTCCCGGTTAGACAGGTTGATTGCCTGTGGTCATAAGGAACTGAAGTGGTTTCGCCCGTTGTTGGGATGTCTAGTGTGTGTATATGCGTGTGTGTGTTCATGTGCGCTTTAGCGCGTGCGCACGTGTGTGTGTGTGTGTGTGTTCATGTGCGCTTTAGCACGTGTGCACGTGTGTGTGTGTGTGTGTGTTCATGTGCGCTTTAGCGCGTGCGCACGTGTGTGTGTGTGTGTGTTTGTGTATGTGTGTGTGTGTGTGTGTGTGTGTGTGTGTGTGTGTGTGTGTGTGTGTGTGTGTGTGTGTGTGTGTGTGTGTGTGCGCGTGTGTGTGTGTGTGTGTGTGTGTGTGTGTGTGTGTTTGTGTATGTGTGTGTGTGTGTGTGTGTGTGTGTGTGTGTGTGCGTATGTGTGTGTGTGTGTGTGTGTGTGTGTGTGTTGTGTGTGTGTGTATGTGTATTCATATGTTTAGTATATGCATTTTGTGTTTGTGTTGCAAGACCGGAAGACGGTCTCGTTTTATTCACTCGCTCCAAACAATTTTCATACTCTCGCGTCTATTCCCTCTTACTTTCACTTATATTCTCCCTCGCAGTCGCTCACAAATCGCTGACTCAACTTGATGCTTCACATCTCGACTACTGATTCGCAATCAAACAAGGAATCAAAACAAACTCAAACTCTCATTGATTTATATGAACAGAGAAGCAACATTTTTTCCCACCTCCCTTGGCCCCCTTTTCCAAAACAGAAGTCACCATGATGTAGATTTTTAGATAATGTATGCAAAGGGATGTGCGAAGTCACGCAACCGCTGCTAGACCTTTAGAAAGTCTCCATCTGGCTGTCTTTTGAGCGGTGGGAGGAAGATGAGGTAGAGATGACTTTATTAAAATTGAAATGGCGAGGTACAGGAGCCACCATCATGCTAAATTCTCCCCAGTTTGGTAATAACAATAATAAAACAAATGGATATTCGATGCCAGTGACAGGAGAGGTGTGAACGAAATTGGAAGGCGTCTCTTAATATGTTTTATCTTGTTCATCGGGGTGAAATTACAGGCTTGGCAGGCGACTAACGTGAAGTAATAAGCGGCTGAAAATCATAGGTAGGACGTAGAGTGACTTGTGGGAAGGGACTTACCGTAGAAAGTGGCCGACGAGGGGAAAATGAGAGACAGGGTAAAACCAAACTGCTAGGGGGAGATAGCGGTCAAGAGAAAGTGATTCGCAAGGAAAACTGGCAGCCCGCAAAGTTTTCCTCGATCATGAAGACGTAAAGGGGGAAATACGACAAGAAGGAAAGAATGAAAGAAATATATACAACGTAAATATACCAAAAAAAAAACACTTATTGGACTGGTAAGAAGCTTTGCAGAATATATCATTAAGTACAGGGGGATAGCTAAGTTAAAGACACTGACTGAGGAACAGGGAAGGAAGGTTGTATTACCTCTCTCACGGAGTTAATTGTTGCTGCTTAGCGTATACAAAGATCAAAGGAGGTCGAGAGATAAAATAGTAAGTGAGAGAAAGTAGACTTGATGACTATTCCTAGATATTCAACGGACAGCACATCTGACTGATCGGAGAAAGTGTTGACTGAGTCTTTCATGGCTGAACAGAAGTGACTACAGAGTGGGAAATTTACGGCAAAGTGAAAGCTAAATGGGGGTAAAGTATTTGAAGAACTCTCATAGCAATTGACGAGGGAGGAAAATGGCTGAAGAAAGTCGAAGGAAAAAGAGAAAATACACAATGATGACCGAAGGGGAGATAGTTACGGAAAAAAAGAAAACTTCAGAGAGCGACAATAATTGCTAAAGGAAAGTCAAGTGACCAGGTATATGATCGTAAATCCACAAGGAAGGGGTGAACGAACGGGATTAGATGGAGGAGAAAGTTGACGAAGAGAAGGAGGAAGGATGGGGCTTTGACACAGCAGAAGACAGCTGTTGGAGGGAGTACGACTGACAGACATTAGAAGACAGCTGTTGGAGGGAGTACGACTGACAGACAGACAAATGCTCGGTTGTAGCGGACTACTCTGTAAACTAGAAGAAAGGTGGATATAGCGGGTAAAAAAAAAGAAAAACATTCCTGAGAAAGAATTATAATAAACAGGGCGACAAGGTGTGTATATTAGGGTAAAAAGGAAAAATGTTGAAAAAATCCATGAAAGAGACAATGGAGTTAATGGTGGGATGTCCGACTACAGCAGATAAACGAATAGAAACTATAAAATAATAGCTGTTAACGAATCTACAAATGAAAATGCTTCGACTTAACGGTTATGGAACATACAAGCGTTATAAAACAAGCCAATTTATGGCCATCTGATGACTATATGACCGTGGCGTGTAGAACAACTACATGAATGACAGTAGACGGTGGACTGACGAGTATATGAGAAACTGAAAAGTAGACGACTAACAGATATTTCAAGGACTGACAGGTAGATGAAACGCTGCCGAATTGTTACATGTTGATATAGACCATTAAGTAAGCCTACGTGACAGATGGAAATGTAGATGGCTTACAAACACGGCATAAACTGACAATCTGGCAATTGACTGAAATGTAGAAGACTGGCCAGAAGATGGTGGATTAAAATGAAGATGACTAATAGATGATGTACCGGGAGGTAGATTATTAGCCAAGATATGGATACTGATGAACTGAAACTCAAAATATTAATGAATACAACCGCGACAGACAACATTACTATATAACAGACGGAAAAGACGACAAATTCCTTCTTGACTGACAAGATGATAAGACGGAATGCAGATGACTGACTCGTAGAAGGTAGACTGGACATTATCAACTAACTAGTAGATAACAGACTATCGAATAGATAATAGAATATTAAGTACAAATGCGTTAACTGGCAAGTAGATGCTGGTAATTAAACAGAGAATAGATGACTGAGAGATAAACTTGGAAAAAAAGTGAATGACGAATAACTTGGGAAGTAGATAACTAACAAAATGTAAGTAGATGACAAGCATACCGGAAATATTAAATTGCTGGGAAATCAACCTGACAAGTAGACTGGAAATAGATAGTGACATAAGAAAATATCAAGTAAACAGTAGACAGAAAAATAGGCGACTTATTAGTAGAATGCGAAGTAAATGACAGACAAGTACACTGAAAAGTCAATAATAAGTTGACTGAATAGACTGGAGAGTAGATGGTTGACAAGTAGACTAGAATTTTCATAGGGAGACTGAAAAGTTGATGAATAGAAAGTTGACAAAAATATATGACCGACAAGTAGGATGGGAGCAGTTCTGATTAGGAATTTGATGACACAAATATACTGGGACAGACTGGGTAGTAGGATACTGACAAGTAGACTGAGAACTGGGTGACTTATATGTATACTGAAAAATTGATGACTGATAAGTTGACTGAAAAGGTGATGACTGATAAATTGACTGAAAGTTTTATGACATAAGTTAACTGAAAAGTTGATGATTGATCATTTGACTGATAAGTCGACTGAACATTTTATGGCATAAGTTGACTGAAAAGTTGAGGACTGATCAGTTTTCTGAAAAGTTGATGACTGATAAGTTGACTGAAAAATTGATGGCTGGTAAGTTGACTGAAAAGTAATTGACAAACTAGAAGTCTGTGAAGATGATTTACAAATGGACTCGGAAGATGACTGACAAACGGATTGGTGAATTGATGACTGATAAACAAACTAGAAAACTGATGATTGCACGAGGACGATTGACTGAACACTAACAAGTATCTGGAAAGATGACTGACAAAGAGACTAGGAAATAGAAGACTGACTTTTGACCGAGAAGTAGATGCTTTATGCTCAGACTGACAGTAGACTGCCGAGTAGATTGCTGGTTATTTGAGCAGGAAGACGAAGCAGCTGATAGACAAGTAGACTGAACGGATGGCCGATAAGCAGACTAATTAGTAGATGACCGACTAGTAGACTGA